TACACGGTAGAACATGTTGTGACCATTGATAGATATAATTATTACAAGCAAATAGGTCCTTCAGAATTAACTTAATTACAATTGGATCAAAAGTTCGTTTTACCCCTATAATTACATTTTACACTGTATCACTAATTCTCTAATGAACAACTAATTTATTATCCATCTATAAATCAAATTCATGGGTCTGTGAGAGAGTGAGACTCCATTGCTCATGTCCCAAAATCAACACTGGAAAATACTCATTACTTCGAGTGAAATTCTAACTTGTGTAATTATGTTTCAAGTTTCTTATTCTGTCAAGTCCCAAAATTTTAGATATATTGAATCGGTACAAAAGTCATTTTCACCTATGTAAACCAAAGGACAAGCCCTCACAGTCATGAGTTCATAACTCACTCAAGATCGAGTCACATATGATCGAGTCACGTATGATCATCATGTGAACTATTAATTTTATCGATTAACAGATTTATATAAAGAGATTAAATATTTCATGGTTCAGTCTTATGCAAACTCATTGTATAAGTATCTCTACTAATGTCTCACATGTACGATTTGGATCAAATTATTTGTAAACATTACATAATGGGTCGTATCAATAGTGTTACTAGGATAAGACACCTAACCATATTCATATACTATAGATCATTTAGATTATTGCTTTTCTTATGTTAATCATATACTACATTAATAACCTTGGACTTTTCATAGCCGAGATAATATTAAATTGAAAATAAAACAATCAAAATTATTAGTGAAAAATTAATAATTAATTACGAGACTTTCAGACATAAATCTCAACCGTAAATTCTTCGATTTGCATCCTGCAACATCTATCTCGTGTGGGTGCAATCGAGGGGAAAATACCTTTTTTTGATCAACCATTTGGTTTCGGGTTTATGAACAATTTGGAGTTACCCAAAATTTGGGGGGAAATTTTTGGGGAAATTAAAATATAATAATAATAATAATACTAGAGATTGAAAAACATAAATAAATAAATAAATGACGGACCGTAAACCACAAAACCACAGACACAACTTATTGTGCATGAGAGTTCAGCTATAGGTCGTGGAGTGACATATAATTTATAAATGAAATCGATTCATTAAAAAATTTAGTTAATTAATTTTGTGTTATTGGAGCTTATAATTGATAGGTTAAAAAAAAATAAATGTTTAAATTAATATTTAATATATCTCTATAATAAAAAATATATATATATTTGATTTGAAGGGTTGAAATTAATATTTTAGAGACACAGAAAAAAATATATGTTTTAAATGGGTTAAATATATATTAAGATATTTTATTTTAAATGTGTTAAAGATTCCTCTCAAATTTCTACTTTCTACGGACAGGACCTAAGTCTAAGCTAAAGAGTGATATCTCACAATTTCGTTAATCGAAATTTTCTCATCCTTTCAATAATCTCCCACAAGCTAAATTATTGGTGTTACACTGATATTCAAAAGAATTCGTGGAGGAAGTTCATTTTCGATTTTTAGGGTGCATTGAGCTAGTTACTAGTAGATGGATCTTGTCACCACTAATATACGTGAGACGTAATATGTTTCATGTGTAATGGTTAAAGAAATAATTCATCGACTCATACACATATGTTGAATTCAAGATATTACGAGGGATTGACCAAGGCTTAGTGTTCAGAGCTAGACACTGGGTAGTGTGCCAGCGAGGACGCGGACTCCCAAGAAAGCTGGATTGTGAGATCCCACGTCGGTTGGAGAGGGAGAACAAAGCACTTCTTGTAAGAATGTGGAAACCTGTCCTTAATAGACACGTTTTAAGAATCGAGAGGTTAACGACGATATGTAACGGGTCAAAACAGACAATATATGTTAACGGTGAGCATGGGTGGATGTTACACTTAGTGAGTCAAGGGAGGAATCTACCTTATGTACAAAAGTAGCGATTTGAAGTAGGTGATTTTACACTTGCATTTTGTTTATAATTGTTGTGATGGTTATTACATCAAAAATGTAGTTTTAAAATGTTTATGGGATGTATTGCATTTATTATATGACAAATATTTATGAAATAAAATTGTGACAATTACTTGTCAGTTAACGAGTTAATTGTACCCCCATAATCACGGGTTCGATGACCTACATTTTGGTTCATGAACCCAAGCTAGAAGATTAGGGTTTCAACTTTTGCCAAAGCCTAAATGGTCCATGTGTTTGAGACTTGGTCCGAGGCTAGATAAATAATATCTTCAAGTTCACTTTGGGTCTTATTTCGTGACAAGGTCATAGGCTAGATGGTCTAGTGTATGTTCATATTTAACCCTAACCGGAGATTTTTATTGAATATTTATAATACTGAACCTTTCAAAACATTTTTTTAAAGGTAAATGTAGAGCAGAATAAGGGGTGGTGCATGACGATGAGCGTATACTTTACTTGTTTTCTTTTATATCTGGTCTTGAACTAGAAAACGTTCCATCTGTTCCTAAATAGCTTCTTTCAAAAGGGTTTCCGCTTCTAGGGTGACATTAAGCTGAGGTTCATTCGTTTTTACGTAATTACGTAACTCAACGACAATTTTTCACTTGTTCAATTTCTAATAAATCAATATAATCGTTCGTTTCTATATAAATAGTCATTATCTGTTCTTCTACCATGATTAGATTTTTTTTATAACTCTTTTTAACTTATTTTCTTTTTTCAATTATATAATTTTATAATATACCTATCTCATTTAATATAATTGATTTCATCCTAGCACCATTTAGATTTTTTATACTATAATTTTATAAAATTTATTTATTTAAAAATAATTTTTAAGATTTATTAACAAATAAACTTAAAAATCCTAAAATTTAGGGTATATGGATTAAAATTACATTAAATTTTAATTATTTAAAATTATTGTTAATTCTCTCCAATTAAATCCGATAATAAAATGATTAAAAATATTGAATTCGGATCACATTTTTCATACCATATTAATACAATATCAAACACAGTTATTTGATTTCCAGACATTATTTTATCAGAGATCATAAATAAATGCTTGAGTTATATTAATTTTGTAATGTGTTACGAAATGGATTTGTAGTTCAATCATTTCGATATTAAAATGACAAAGACCTGCATGGTGTAGCGACTCGAGTCAATCCACATCGAGAAAGTCACATCATTACTATATATATATATATAGATATATATAGAGAGAGAGAGAGAGAGGTTGTTTAAGAAAAAAAGGTTGCTAGGGTTTGTAAGGGCGGAGGAAGGTGGGCGGTGCTACCCATTGGGGGCGGCCAGCGCATAGCAGTACGGCGAGGCTAGGCAATATCAGGCGGTGATGCATAGCTATCCGCCCAGCCTGGACCTCATTTGCTATTGCAGTCTCCATCTCCCACTATGATATCATATCTCTTTTATAATAACTCAAACCCCTTTATGATAATGAAACCATTCTGTATTATTTTCCCCACGTTTTTAACGCATCACTCTAAAACCTTGTTGGGTCTTTGGTCAACTTTCATGAGCCCTCATTTTCCAACTCATACTAAATTTGATCTAGGTTAGAATAAGAAACAAAACACTCGGTTCGGTTCCGTCGGGTCGTTTTCGTTTCAATCCTAATACGTTTTGGAACTTAATTTTCATTTCATCCCTAAGTTATGTGTTCATTTGATCTAAGTAGGTGACTCTACTTTTGGGGTCGTGAAATGCTAAAACATGCAACATGATAGGACCTACCATTTAAAACATCATTTTATTTTCTTAGGCGGCTTTCAAGTTCGGGCTAAATTGGATGTACAGTACTTCTCTACACACGGCTCATATGTGTGAATGTGGGCCCACTCGGTAGGCTCACACAGGCCCTAGGCCTGTTGGTTGGGTTTGTATGTGTTTGTATCGTAGCATCATGGCAAACATGATGGTCATAATCAGTCTCATGGTGTATGTGTTTGTACTCATCATAATATGGGAGTATCTTGATGCACGTGAACATACAATTATGCATGAGGTCTACATACTTTCCATCACGGTATAATAAATGATGCAAGACAACGTTCATTCTTTCGTAACATATTAAATCTAGTAATTATGCGTACATAATTCTTATACGTCATTTCCATAACATAGCTTCCAAGACATGGTATACGAAGGTTGTGCATCATATATTTTCTTATTTCAAAACATATCCTAACATAATATGATATTTTCTTTATACCATAATATTATTTGGCATATCATATAGCGTAATATAACATAACATAACATCACATATCAAAACAAATCTCAGATATGATACGTACAAGGACCACTGAGCATATGTCATCATACATAAAGCAATTCTTCCAATCAAACCGATTGTAGAGCTACTTACTTGGTTGGCTTAGGCCGAAATTACTACGATCTCTTAATGTTAGCTTAAGGACCTCTGAATACTACTTTCTGAAATTTAATTTTGCGGAAGTAGTCTCACAATCATAAACTAGAATTCAACTCTAGAAATTGGCTCACTTAATTTTGTATTAAAAAAATAGTCGTACCAACGATAAATGCTTTTGAAGAGTTGAAACTAGTAGAAATGAGTCCGAGCATATCAGACTCAAATCGGATTAGTCAAAAAATCAACTTTTAAAATATTTTCCGAACTAAAAGAAAAAAAAATCTAGAAAATTCCGTTTCTCTATCGAATGGTGCAATTGAGATTTAAAGAACATAACAGTATTTCAGGGGAACAACTGTCCTCTTTCCCATCCTTTTCATTATGATTGAAAAACTTGACTTTTCATGAATATGAAAAACCCACGTGTCTAAAAATTTAAACCACAAATTGAAGATAAGAGAATCACAAAATTGCTTTAAAAAAATTATAAAAAAAAAAAAAAAAACACTATGTTGTGTTTATATATTTATATCGTCTCATCAATATACGGTGCTTGAAAAATAAAAATTTGCCCAAAGGATCAAAACAATCAAAACATACCCAGAAATCAAAGAGCCCTGGAATCTAAAAAAAAGAGGGTTCTTTAATGATGGGTTTAAAAGTTCCAGAGAAACGATTGACCGGCGGGGATGCTGTCTTCATCGTCGTAATGGTCATTCGGGGATTGGTAAAAATCACTGGTTAATATGTTATCAAAGTCGTCGTTGTAAAGCGGGAAGAGATTAGAAGCGTCTGGAGTGTAGTCAACTGCGTCGAGGTTGTCGAGGAATGACCAGTCAATGTTTTGGTCGGAGGTGGCGGGAGGAGCTTGGAGACGGTCAACGGCGGCGTTGTTTTGGTCAGCACTACTGGAGGAGTGTTCATAATCATTAGCGAATTTAGCTGCCAGCTGTTGGATTTCATGGGCAGTGAGGGAGTGAGCGTCGAGAATGTCGGGCAGTGGTTGGTTGGGGAAGTTGAACTTAGCTTGTCGGCCACGTAGGCAGAAGAGGGCAGCGTCAAAAGCACGGGCAGCTTTCTCCGGCGAGTCATAGGAACCGAGCCATATTCTGTCGCGGCTGTTGGGGAGGCGGATTTCCGCTACCCATTTACCCCATTTCCGCCGTCGTACACCTTTGTATTTGGTGTCACCGGCGGCGGAGGTCTGGCTGAGCTCTGGTGGATTATTATTGTTGTTCATGATTTTGAGTGGGGGCGGGTTTTTCGGCATATATATATATGGGATGTTTTTCTTGACTTGTTCAAACTTGAAAGTGTCCTTTTGAAAAGGAATGACACGTGGCGTCTTCGGAGGGTTTGTGTTCACTGTCGCTAACGCGGTTCCGATTGTGTTTTCCGCCCTATTTTTGCCACGTTGCTTAATGCCTTTTTTACATGTTTTGCCAATTTTTTTTTTCTTTCCAATTTAATTTCTTATAATTTAAAGAAAAATAATTATTGTCTTGGATTATTTAATTTTTTTTACAACAAATATGCCTTTATTTATTTATTTATTTATTTACTAGAAAAAAAAAAGAAAAAAAGAAAAAAAAAAGAAGAAGAAAGAAGTAGATATCTTTGACTGAAAAACTATGCTTGACTTGGCATATTTAGAATATGTTTAAATATTAATTTTTAAATTCTAGTAAATTTTGTACATAGAGATAGATTTGTTTTTTTGTATTTCGTCTAATTTTACGAGTCTTGATTCTGAATGAACTTCCTCTTACGGTTAAGAAAGTAGTGGTGTTCTAACGTTAGTTGAAGTCGTGTTTGTCCTGACATTTTGATCAAGTAGGGCGATTGTTCGAGCATGTCCTATTGGCTTGACTTGGGTATGTCGTGGAAGTTGTTAAGAAAAAACTCGTTGATTCTTTTGTGTGAGTGGAACTTAGTAAGAACTTACATTCGTACCGAGACTAGAACTTATAGGGAACAAAATTTATGGATTTAATGAAATATGCCGTATTTATAGACAAAAGTACTCGGTTATTGGAGAAAATTACTTGTCTATTCCATCGGGGGAGAATAGGTCGTTCGAGAGGGAGATTTTGAAATTTTATTTTATTTTTATTTAATTTCGTAATTATTTTTTTTATTATTTAAAAATATATATCCTAATTAAATATTTAAAAGCAAATAAATAGATGTTTTTATTGGTTTTAAACTTGTAAGAGCTTTTAAGTCCGAACCCAAAACTAGTGCGTTAAGCTCCTTATATCCCTTACCCAATATAGATCGGCTCGATCAATTTGCTTTTACTAAAAATAAAATATGAATAAATGATACAAACAACCCGAACCAACCCAACCCAAAAAATTTACAACCCGAACAATTGAATTAGGTTTAAAAAAAAATGTTGCAACTTAACCCACGAATACCCCTAGTTGATATATTAACAACCTCTTTGGTTCAAAACCGTGCTCTTATTAACATGTCAGTACACATACTTAAATAGACAATTAAACTAATTCGATAAAATAAACGTTAATTTTTGTAAATTTAGGGACTAAAACAATAATATTGTAATAGTATAAGGACGAAGAGCATATTCAATTCAGAGTGTGAAATGGACAAAATGTGTGCTTTGGAGTAGTTAGGGTTTTGGTTAGTCTATGAGGAAGGACCAGCTTTGAAAAAGGTGACTGATCGGACGTCGGCCAGAGGGGCGGAGGCTGCGCCGGCCTTCCGACTACGTAGATGAAAGAACGGCTCTATAATGCGAGGTTGACTCATATTTGAATCCAATTTAAGATTGGTTCTAAGGGTCAAAAGTTATAATCATTGGAAGAACTTCCAAATCACCTCTCCTAAAAGTCTTCCATATTCTCTAATCAACTTTTCAAATTCCAATTCTATCCTTAATTACACGACCCCACCACCCTACTGCTATTAGATATTGTCTTCTTTGAACTTTGCTTTCGAGTTTTTTCTCAAGATTTTTAAAACTTGTCTACTAAGGAGAGGTTTCCACACCCTTATAAACGATGCTTCGTTCCCCACTCCAACGGATGTGAGATCTCACAATTCATTATTCTTGAGGTTCCAATGCCCTCAATAGTACACCCATCGGTGTCTGGCCCTGTTACCATTTGTAACGGCCCTGATACTAAGATGATTTTTTTAAAAAAAAAAAATCCCTTTCAATTAAGTTGTTTTATATATATATTAGTGTCAGCTATAAAATGTTAATAAAAAAATTATTTACCGCGAAAGCGATTAGAGGCTACTGTAACGTTTGATGAATACGAACAAAGCGATACCACTTCATTATCCTTATTTTTTTGTTAGTGAACCCGACGTTATTGGACTGTAATTAATTAATTAAGATTTAGGTTGACCATAAGACGATACGTTTAGCTTGTAAATTTTGACTTTTAAGCTGTATACTTTAATGGTAAGTAAGATTTTAGAAGATAACGGCTATTAATGGAAGCAAGGTATAGAGACCTTTCAACCGGCACTGTCCCATCCTCGTCTAAACAATTCAACCTTATTTAAGTTGATAGATTGTCCGAAAAAACCACATTAATAAGATTCACTCGACTATCGAATAATTATTATTATATTCTAATATGTTATAAAATAATAATTTAACCACAATATCTATTTAATCTCGTTAGGTCTCTACCCGAGAATCCGCATTTAAAAGATGAATGATTTCTCTTCATTATCTAAACAGGGCAAGGGATTATATTTTTTTTATCACCGCTACAATTTTTATAAATAAATAAATATATTTATATATGTCAAAACTAACCTCTATAGGTGTGTGTGTATATATATATATATATATTTTATTTTATTTTATTTTTTGTTTGATTTAAATGATTGTAGAAAATTGGGGAAGTCAAAGAAATAGTGAGGCGGTCAGCGAGGAATGGACGGCGGCGAGCATGGGCGGTGGAAGCGTTTGCGGCGTAGGAGGCGGAGGAGATGACTCATTGATGACGTGAGCGTATTGAAAGCGACAGATGAAAGGACAGTTGGATGGGATACTGGACATGTGGAGACAATCATTTTCGACCGGTATGCTATATATATATATATATATCTATATCCAAGTGTCATCCATGACTAAATATTTCCACTTTTTTGTCATCCACGTGTCAATTAAATGTCCAGCTGGTTAATTATATCGAGCTAGATTACATTCTCGTCTTCGTTACATATCATCATTTAACCTGCTTTAGATAAATGGGGTCGGGAATAAAAATTATTTTCTCCGTCCTCATATAATTCTCCGCCCCACTACTATATATATATCAAAACTTTTTCTATTTTACAAATTTTAATAGTTTATTAGTATTAACGGAACTGGTCGAAATTATATTCTCATCCTTAGTACAAATGACCATTTAACTTGCTTTAAATGTGATCGAGAAGAAATTGCTCACCATTAAATAAATGGAGTCGAGAATAAGAATTATATTTTTTTGTCTTCATCTAATTACTTTTTACATATATAGTACTTTATTGTTGTTTTTTATTTACGATTATGATCGTCATATTTAAATTTGTGTCGAAAATTATAATATAATATTAAAATTTTAATTTTAGAAATGATGTGATAAAACATTTTATACATGTGTATATATATATTTTGGTGAAAAATTATTAAATTTATTAGTATGTTATATATATATATTAATAATATTTATATTAAAGAGTGAAAATTATGCATTAATTTTTTTTAAGGACTAATATTAAAAAAAAAAAGGAAAAAAAAGTTTTGAGGGGAGCTCGATCTCACAAAAATAAATGGATAATTTAGCCTATATGAGAAATGAAATAGATAGCAAGGATCGAGAAGGTTTCTCGTCCCTGTCCCGCTTAAAACATGTGGAGATAGTATCCGGTTGAACCGTGTTTAATTCTAATAGTTTCCTTTTTGTAAAAATAATTTCAACAATAAATACTAAATAATTATGGAATTTTCTTTTCAATATTATATACAAATAAATAAAGGAATCTTAATTATAAATTCTGTTATTTGTTTTTTTTTAACTTTTAAATTTATTTGTGTGAATTGGTTAGGCATTTATAAAAACTATCCACCCATGAATTGAAGCAATTACAGGCTGGGCTTTCGGCCCATTAGTTATGACGTCCACACCTATGTGGCACAGATGACGTAAGCAAATACCTGGTGTGCCGGCTGACATCAGCTCGACCGGTAAAACGCAGAGTAGATTATTATTATTATTTTGGTCTTTGGAATCATATTCACCTAGTGTATTTTAATTCATATAAATTATTATTATTATTATTGTTTAACGACTATATCATTAAACAAGTATCTTTAAAATTTAAATTACAGAAGAAGAATCCAATTATGATCTTGAGCATGCACATTGTCACTATCGTCGTGATTATGTTTGTCTAAGACATGTTGCTATAATCCTTGCAGTGGAACATACTCCTTATAAGATATGTTGCTATGATCCGAACGCACTCCTTACAAGACATGTTGCTATGATCCTAGCGGTGGAACGCACTCCTTACAAGACATGTTGCTACGACCTAGAAGTGGAACGTACTCCTTATAAGACATGTTGCTACGATCCCAGAAGTCGAACATACTCCTTATCCTTATAAGACATGTTGCTACGATCCTAGAAGTCGAACATACTCCTTATAAGACATGTTGCTATGATCCTAGAAGTTGAACATACCCCTTATAAGACATGTTGCTACGATCCCAGAAGTCGAACATACTCCTTATCCTTATAAGACATGTTGCTACGATCCTAGAAGTCGAACATACCCCTTATAAGACATGTTGCTATGATCCTAGAAGTCGAACATACCCCTTATAAGACATGTTGCTATGATCCTAGAAGTCGAACATACCCCTTATAAGACATGTTGCTATGATCCTAGAAGTCGAATGTACTCCTTATAAGACATGTTGCTATGATCCTAGAAGTCGAATGTACTCCTTATAAGACATGTTGCTACGATCCCAGAAGTCGAACATACTCCTTATCCTTATAAGACATGTTGCTACGATCCTAGAAGTCGAACATACCCCTTATAAGACATGTTGCTATGATCCTAGAAGTCGATGTTGCTACGATCCTAGAAGTCGAACATACCCCTTATAAGACATGTTGCTATGATCCTAGAAGTCGAACATACCCCTTATAAGACATGTTGCTATGATCCTAGAAGTCGAATGTACTCCTTATAAGACATGTT